CAGAGAGCTGTGAGCCTGATCACTGTCCTTTAGATGGGGGCCTCCATAGTCCCTCGCAGCCCCGGCTTCTCCTGCTGCCCCCCACCACACGGCGAGCCCTCTACTCTCCCGTTGCCCTTTCTGCCTTGGCTGCCGGGATGCTCAGAGCACCATCTCCTGGGTGATCCCCTTCTCTTCTCTGGCTGCCTGGTATTGTCAGGATGCCTAGGCTATAGCTACAAGGTCTATACTTCACATTATTTTTGGAAATTGGAGGGAAACACTGTCATTTGCAAGTCACACACCTTGGATCCGAGTGTCAACACCTTGCCCCCGCCTTCCCCTCTGACTTGCCCGAGGCTCTGACAGCTTTTGGGAGCAAAGCCTGGTGATCCGAGCTGGTCGCTGCTGTGCCTGGGACTGCGGCATCTGGCCCCTGGGGTGGGTGGGGGCTACAGCACAGGCAGGAGGGGGGGCACACTTGGCCAACCCTTTAGGGACTCAGGGTCCTGGTCTGTACACAGAACACATTGGCGGTGTCTCTCCGCAGGTTGCTGGGGTGATTGAGATCCCATCGGTCAGGCCCCTGAGTTCAGCCTGCACATGGCAAGAGCTGTGACTGTCCTCTCTCCCCTCCATGTGCTGCTGTCCTGGGCCGGCTTCATCCAGTCCAGGCCCCCTTTGGGCTCAGATTGAGGGCTTTGGAGTCAGAAACATGCGCTTGGAGCCCTGGAGCCTCCTCTTTCCTGCTGCCCCTCTAAGGCGGCGTCTCCATGTCTCAGAAGGAAGTCAAAGATCGGGCTGCCCCCTGCCCCAGCCCAGGACGCAAGATAGCATTTGCCAGACACCTGCTCCCTTGTGCTCTGCCCTCAGCGCCTGCTGCTTGTCACCTTGACCTAGCCCAGGGCTGGCCATCCCACAGCCCCAGGGGCCTTCTGTGCCCTGTGGAGCCAGGGTTAACTGTTATTTCCCTGCTGGGCTCCAGAACCACCTTCTATCTTGCAGGTCCACGGGGCAGTGCGGAAGGCCTGCTGTCCCCCACTGCCTCCCAGCTCCAGAACCACGGTTGCTCAGTTTACAACTTGTGACTGTGGGGGTGTGACATAAGCAATACCCTCCCTGAGCAGAGGGGCGGGGCTTCTGCAGGTAGTTCCCTTTCAACCCGGGCCCAAGTTGAGCCTAGGAGGCGGGTGAAGTGTCTGCTCAACGTCACGGCCTAGCATGGGTTTTCCCAGGGAGGGGAGGCAGCTTCCTGCCCTTGGATGTTCGAGGATCTAGGCTCCCCGTTTGATTCCTGTGCATTGGGAACAGGGGTTGGGGCCGCCCACCCCTCCCTCGCCCCTGGTTCCCCAAGAATGGACTCTGAGGAGAAGCTGGGGATGTTTAATTAATTGCAATTACAATCTTCAAAGGACGCAGAGAGTTGAAAGTTGTTCCTAATTACTATGTTATGATGTCGGCCGGCTCCCCAAATTGATTGTGTTAGAATTTCCGATGGAGGATTAATTGAGTTGCTGCGAGGAGCCACTTATGTCCCTCCCCTTTAGATAAAGCCCGAGTTCAGTGTGAGCCTGAATGACAATGAGGCTGGCAGGGTGGGGACGGTGACAGCTGCTGGATGAAGAACTCAGAGCTGAGGAGGCCAGGGCAAGGGCCTGGGCTGGAGTGAGGGGACAGGGCCAGCATGGGGCAGCCCCCGGGCCAGCAAGGTCCAGTTCTCCGGGCCAGCATGGGGCAGCCCCCCGGGCCAGCACGGTCCTCTGGGCCAGCCACGGGGCGGCCCCCGGGCCAGCACGGTCCTCTGGGCCAGCACGGGGCGGCCCCCGGGCCAGCACGGTCCTCTGGGCCAGCACGGGGCGGCCCCCGGGCCAGCATGGCCCAGCTCAGCAGTGCTGCCTGTCCTCACCTGGGGCATTCCTGTGGACTCCTCCTCCACCCCCTGGCCGTTGGGCAGGGTCTTGCCAGTGAGTTCTGGTACAGTGACATTGGCCATTTCTAGGACTGAGCCTTTCTTGCCCCTGTGAGACCCTTGAGAGGGACCCCTCCTCCCCTCTGCCAGCCGGGGGCCCGGGGGGCATGCAGCATGGTGAGTGAGAACAGCCCCGTGGTAACCTGGCCCCCGAGGTGGTGGGGTTGTTCCTTCCATAGCATAATCTCTGCTGACGGAGGGACACAGGCACGGCGTGGCGTGCAGCCCAGGGCCAGGTGAAAACCAGGGCCTGCTCAGCAGGGTGGGTACCGCGTGACGGTGGTGGCGCAGCGTGAGTCCCGGTGGGCCCTGCTGAGCCCAGCGGGCCCTGCCGCAGAGCTGGGCCGCTTCCGGGTTCTGCCGAAGTGCGTGTGTGCCTTGGGCTGTGTGGGTGGCTTACTCTGTGCCTCTGTTTCCCCATCTGTAAGAGGGAGGCTGGAGGACTGAATGGGGTGGGGAGGACGGTGGCTATGTGTCTTGGACCAGGCGGCGGGTGACTCCCCCTGCCCCTCTGCTGGAGGCACTCCCTGTTCACTTATTCCCGGTTCCTGGCACTGGTACCGGCCAGCAGTCGGGGAGACCTAGGAGTAGCAGGGGGCAGCCAGCAGGAAGGGGGTGGGAGAAGGCGAGGGGAGGGGTCAGCCTGGGGCCCGATGTGGAGGGGAGAAGAAAAGTGAGCCTGGGACCTGGGGGCAGGGGGCAGATGCAGGGCCACCTCTCACGGGACGGGGTGGGACCTGATGGGTGGACATAGGCCACTGACTTGTCCCATGGATGTGTTTGGAGCAGAGACAGACATGACCCTATACATGCTATAGAACATGCCTTCGCAAGGCCGGCACTGGATGGTATTGCCCCAAGGAGACACTACTGGTTCTTGGGGGGCCAGGTGGAAAAGTCATTTTCTTCGTGTGTGTCAAGCACAGCTTCATACAGTGAACACACAGGCGTACAGCTCACCTGTGGCGGTAAGGCTTCCTGGGAGGGGCCAGTTAGGGAAGCCCGTCTAACAAGGCCCCAGGTGGGGGTGACAGCCAAAGCAGGCTGAGAGAGTGACCCACAATGAGTGCTGTGGTTCCTGGGGGTTGAACGTAAGTGGAGGCTGGGAATGGGTGAGGCAGGGAGACCACTGGGGGGGGCTGTTGCAATAACCCAGGTGAGGTGCTGGTGAGCCTACCAGGCAGGGGTGGGGGAGGCG